CTGATCGGCACATCAGGTTTTTCGGCACATTATTTATTTACTTTTTTGCTTGTTTGTTTTGGGTTTTTTTTTTTGTGCCACCCATTGACTTTAAGACATCATGATTCTATGACTGTTCATTCAGCTCTAAACACAAACCTTTTGTAAATTGCCTCATTTTTTCCTCAGAGTGGTAATAGTGAGAGTTTTATTTATGTTATTTGAGAAATCCATGCTCGTCATTCCAGTTGTCACGTCACCCAAAGGTTTTGATGTGGGTTTTTGTGTTTTCTCTTTGAAGACGAGCTAAGCTAACTCAACTGCTTTTACATCCCGAGATTAGCCTCTTGACACCTTGTTGCACAATTGTTGCTAATGATAATTTTTAAATGATTTAGAACAGTCTTAAAATATTAGCGGTTTCTCGCATGATGTGTCTGATTTCTATTTGGATTATGGAAATATTTTGAAACGGTGAGATCACTGAGTAATGCAGTTTTGTTGGAGCATAACGCTGTCACGGTGACCCTGTCAGGACACACAGCTTTAGATAATGCCATGAACCGCATTCATTAAAGAAGTTTGCTCTCAGACTTGCTTGTCCACTCACAGATTCCTTGCATTTTAAGACTAAATTCCTCATGTTGTGAAATGTTAACCTCTGCAAAGAATTTGTCACTGTGTAAACGCGTCTTTAAACATGTGTGCCTTTAAACAGGAATGTTTCATCTCTTATTATTGAAACACACTGTAGAAAGTCTTGTTTCTCCAGTGCCTGTCGACGTAAGGGGGCACTGTTGGGCTGAAATTAGACCCGGTTTTGTTCACAAATACCATTCAGGCAAGACCTTTGCAGCTGAAGTGCTTTGAAATTTTAAGTTTGTGGCCAATATTCCCCGTGCATGATTAGACGGTTGCTATCTCACAGTAGCACACACACAGTGCGGGTTATTTGTTTCTCATACCACCAGGGTCGTAGTGTCTGCAGATAAGATTGTTCTCATGCCTGCAGCATTTTCAGAACTTAGGAGTCTTTGTCCAGCCGTTAACAAAAGCCTTTGGATTAGAGGTGAGGCGGGCTCAGAGTAGCTACAGCTGCAAACGTGTATGGGCAGATCAGTGGAATGACTGAAGCCACAGTGGGCTAAGCACTCAGAAAAATGCAGTTTGGTGAGATTTCAGATCTTGGGGGGAGGGAAGAGGGAAGGACATACAAGGGTGGGCAAGGTGTTGATTCCACGGAGGGAAAACAAAAGGCATTCTTCACCTTTAGGAGTCTTTGAAACCCCTCTTTTAAAAGAAATGTATATGCCTTAAAAAAAAAGAAAAAAGGTTCGCTTTTTAATTATTTTTAGACTTGTGGGAGTATATTTAAAGGATTTGTGAATGCTCTTCTGGTAGGAGGGAGCAGTGTAACCCCATGACATTTTAACAACTCAACTTTCCACTTTTGAAACAAGTTTACTGTGAGAACCTTGCACCTAAAAAACACCGCAACAATGGAGTGAATGAACAAGGCCGTCTGATTGGCCCGGAGAGCAGCCAATCTGAGTGCAGGCATGAGTCACAGGTCGAGGCGGTCCGCGCTCACCTGACACTTTACCTACCTGAGCGCAGATCCAGAATCTCATTACCCTTCTAATACAAGCCTTACCTGAGGTTCAGACTGCTCCACCGAGTGTTTTTTCTCCACTCAGACAAATCCAGCAGCCATGGCTGTGGCTAACTTCCAGTACATTACCCGGATGAGCAGTGGCTTCAAGGTCTACATTTTAGAAGGTGAGTCTGGGGAACACTTTCTCTTTATTTCTTTGTGTTACTTTGTGATATATATATATATATATATATATATATATATATATATATATATATATATATATATATATATATATATATATATATATATATACATGTACTTTTATGACCAGTACAAGTAACATGAACAGCTTTACATTTCAGTGATATCTATCAGCATGTATTTGTCTCATTAATGTACAAAGTCATTGCCTGCTTTTGGTCCGCTGCTGTGTGTCTTTGTCCTGTCAGTGGTGTTCATGTAAATACAGTGATTGATAAGAACACATATCTGATCAAATTGAAGCCAAAATCCAAAAAGTACCTCGTACAACGCACGTTACAAATGAACATTGTTGGATTTGCACCTTCTTTTTCTTTTCTTTTTTTTTAATACGGGAAGTCTTGTCAAGATTAAAGCAATGATGGACACCACTTTAGACCTTCTTTCTAAAATGTCAACAAAGGAATTGTACAGTGTGTGCCGCTTTCGCATTTCAGCAAAAGTCTGATTAAATTTAGCAAAACAGAAGGTCACGCGGCACACACTCTCAGCTAATAAGAAAAAAAATATCCATGCCCGAGGCATTAGAAAATCAGCATAGGTGTGGTTATACCTGCTCCCCCCTCCACAATGGCACACTGTGTGAAGGATGGAATGTTTATGCAATAGGCAACGCAAACTGAAGAGTTCAAGCAATGACAATGAACTCCCCCCCCCCTTTTTTTTTTTGTCCTGCTCTGCAAAACGGATAATCACCTATTGTTTCAGTCAGACTGCAGTAGTTACTGTTGTCTTGCAAACGGAGGAATCCTCCAGTCATTTAGTGAATGTGGACTTACAAGTGTTGGGAGAGCGTACAGTTTAACAACGGGTGATAACAATTTTAAGGAATGTTGGTGTTTTGGCTATAAGCATGCCATCCCATCCCAAACCCTGATGGCGCGTTGATTTGGTTCAGCGTGAGCTCTATTTGGAATCAAATGCAACCATGAAAGACCTGTGAAAATCACACCCTGTTTTTTTGAACTGGGGGACTGAATCTCACCACTGTGAATCTCTTCAACTCTTGCGTTCAGCTTATCAGAGCCAACCTCAGTTCGCGCGTTTTAACTTGAGTAGACTCAAAATAAAATTTCAAAAGTAGGTGCATCTACGTCCACAGAGGGGTTCCCTTATATCACAGTTGGAGGTGTTAAAATGTTTGCCTTTCTACCCCACAAATTAAATTAAAAACTGTGTTGATCGTATTCTTGGAGGCGTGTGAATGGGCTGGATGCCAGCATTGAAGAAAAACAACATTTACCGTTAGTATTGAATCAGCTGTGAAGTGTTGAAACCCTCGCTGATCAGGTTGATCGAGTTTAGCTACTTAACGGAGCTTACAATTAACGGTGAAAAAAAAAAAATTTCCCACGACTAGCTGTCATGCAGGTTGATGTCATGGGATGAAAACAACTATTAGTCACCCGTAAGTGTTAAGTGCTTTATAACAGAAAAAAACATTGTGACAGGTCACTTTAGATGAAAGATGGCAACCGTCCAATAGTATATCGGGATATCGTCATCATGTTGCTTAAACCTTTCTGATCGTCTGACTCTGACCCCTGTTTTATAGGTCAGCCTCATCTCAGAGGTGAAGACCGGTACAGACATATGGGGAACGAGCGACCTCGAGCTCCGGCTGTGTTTCCGATCAAACGCAAGCGCAACTACGAGAGGGGCCTCACGTTGGAGGAAAGGTTAGCACAACTTTTGATTTTTGCCCACATAAATGCAAATTGTCTTGAAGAAACGAAACCATTCCTGATGACTCTATCTCTTTTAGGCGAGAGCGGGCAATAAACAGGAACAAGATGACCCAGAGGGCTGGTCCAGTGCCTGCACCCTTCAGTAACCAGCAGAGTCCATCATCCCCACAGAGCCCAACGCCTAGTCCTACCAGCCCTTTCCCCCCCTACGTCTACTACACACCAGTCAGCGACGAACCCCTGGCACTCATCAAAAAACCAAGGAAAGACCCTGAAAACGCAAGAGGAAAGACAACAGCCTCTGCTGCCACTCAGATCCAGGTACTTCAGCTGTTCTGAACAAGAGCCGCTTGTTTCTTCAACAGGCCACCCTTTGACTGAGATAAAGGAAGTTCAGGCGGTCATTAGTTTGGAAACGTGGCAGCTGTGATGTTCCTTTTAACAGCAGCATAGCTTGAGGGTAACCCACAGCAGGGGTACATCTCTACTCTTTAGTCAGTGAAGTCTTCTGAGTGCACACAGGCCTAAGCTTGCCTGAGCAATGCAATCCAGCCGGATTCAAGTAGAAAATGTAAGCAATGGAAAGAGGAATGCCCTCAACAAGACCAAACAGACTGCTTTCCCTCTGAACTGTTTATGCCATCACAGTAGAAGCGAGTTGACTTTCAGGAGCAAACCCAACCAGTTTAATCACTTCTGCGTTAAACTGTGCACATTGCTGTGGTTGTAATCTTAACAGAGCGCATTCTCAGGTTTAGGCAGCAGCGCTGAAGGTTAAAGATCCAAAGGAAAACAAAACCTAGGACCATTGTTGAAATCCTAATAATGATTGACTCACTTATTTCTTTTTCCTTTCCCACAGATGCGCCCATCGGTGATCACCTGTGTGTCATCAGTACAGAGCCCTTCTTCTAGACCCGAGGTCCGCAAAAGCCACTCCTCAGGTCAGTCTCTCACTCTCTCCAGACTGTCACTCCCAAACTCGTCACACTCAACTCATAGACTAAATACCCACTCAGTCTTGAGCAGACTCTCTCTGACTCACAGAGGTGTGTGTTTGACTTGTGACATGTATCCTTTTTCCAGGAGACTCCGATTCCAATTACGATCACGTCCTCGAGGAGCATTTCCAGAGGAGCCTAGGTGTGAACTACCAACAAGCGCCCACCAAGGAACTTTCCATCAGTGTGTCCGTGGACGACCACTTCGCCAAGGCACTGGGACAGGACAAGTGGCTGCAGATCAAATCCAAGTCATCCTCCTGCTCCTCCACGCCTCCCAGTAGCCCCAGCATCACCCACTCACCCACCTACAGCCACAGTCCCAGCCATTCCCACAAACAGTCGCCGCTGACATCCAGGCACTGGACCCTTAACTAAGCGGGAATGGCACCGCTACTGAACTTTTTTTCTTTTTTTTTTACATTTCAGCGCAAACGGTTCTGCCTGTCCACGTAAAACAGACAAGCCAGCGCAAGTGTTCAGAGATGGCCAACAACAGAGTGCAGACATGTGCACATCCAAACCCGATACACTTAACTCTGATAAATGTAGCACTTGAGCCGGAGAACGTTGTTTTGTTACATTTCTACCCTGTGCTTAGCATCTGACACTTGAAATAGTATAGATGGTTTTTTTGGGGCCAAATAATCCTCTACATTTCTTTAAGTTTGTGCTATTCTTAGCAGACTGCATGTTTGCCTCAAATTGACTGTACTTGTATTTATATTCTTATACATTTGGGGTTTTTTTCCCAGTCTGAATGACTGGTCTGTCTGCTGTGTAAAATTTTTGCTTGTAAGCTTTACACAAATCTAAGTTTTAGCAAATGTTTTTCTAAAAAAAAGAATAAAATGAACAAAAATATATATATCTTTTATGTTTCTTTCTTTTGCATGGATGACAAGTCTGAAAGGAAATGGAAGATTATGGGTATCTTTTAAGCGGAGATCGGAGTGATCCAGACAATCTAATTTAATCGGTGAGTCAGTGAACACACCTGGCCAGAAGAAGCTTTCCAACAATGAGCATTGTTGCTCAACTCTAAAATTAAATGGCTGCATGAGCAACTCATCCTGGACCCCTTTTCCAGTAAATCTGAGAGAATGTAGGGAGCATGTCCCAGCAGGCGCTCTGACATTCCTGTGTCCTGAGAAAATGACTCCCTCAGATCTTACAGATCCTGTTTGGCAAGGGATCGGAGGTAGGGCTGCAGGGAATAAAGGGTTGGGCTGATAGGCCTGAGCATGAGAACTAATCATGCTCTGCTGTTCCCTATTTGCATGTCCTAGCTTGTCAAATTTTAAAAACGATTGGAGACTTTGACTGAAAAATGCCAAAGAGGCTGTGACTGAAATTCAGATTTTAAAAGATTACCTTGAACGTTCGGAACAATTTGTTCTCGGGCGGGAAAACTACAGCCGAGCTGCGGATATTGTTTCTGTCTTCATCTTCTTGCAAATGGAATAAACTTTTGTATTTGTCAGATTGAACCTCTTTACAACAAGCAAAACACCATCAAACGTTCACACTCGACAGCGTCTTGGGTGAGTTCGCATGTATGGGAGCAAAATATTGATCAACCTTGGATGATTACTTTCTCAGTGAGTCACAATCTGGTATTTCAACAAATTCATCCAGTGTAACCTGAATAGGGGCTTTGATGCCACCTAGAGGCTCCAAAGAAGTGCTTAAACAGCCAAAATTTCCAGTGACTCATGTCGTGCGATAAACAACTTCACGAGCGACTATCAGTTCTTTAGAAAACGGCTGTTTGGACACAGGTGTTTTGACACTGAAACGAAAGAGGAAATCATTTTCTCTTGTAGAATCACAAGGAAATGCATGAACTCTTACTTATAGGTACAGTCTCGCACTTAAGGTTTTCCCTCCAAAATCTGGAAGACGATGCAAAAAAAAAGAAAAAAGATCTACCAGTGTAGCATTGAGGTTAGTAAAGCACAGCATGTCCTGAGTGCCATCACCTTGACAGATGGTTTTTGAACTGTGCAGACGAATTTGCGATGAGAATGTGACAAGAAATGCTTCTCATGCAGCTGCATAACAAATGCACATTGTTGAGAGAGAGAGCAGTCACTGCTGACTACCATCCCTAATCCTTCATAAGTGACAGAAAACAGCATTTAACTCATGCAAACAGTTATTAAAAATCTCCTACCATAAGAAAAATTGGCCACACCATTCTGGGAAAATTCTTGAATTTTTGTTGGGTAAATCGCTGTCAACAAATCCGTAATCCTTTTTGCAAACACGAAACAGTAGCGCGCTAATCTCCTGAGAACATAAATGTGCTGTGATGTTGGTAAATAGATCTTGTGAAGCGCTGTGTTTAATCAGAGAAAGTTGTCTGGGATATACACTTTTATGAATCCAAGCTTTTAAATCAGCCAGTTATTGTGTAAGGACACCGGCGCCTCTGGTGCAACAAGGTTGCCTCATCCTAGAGCACATGAATATCACTTGGTCAAAACCATCCCATTGTTGCTCTGCCTGTATGTTAAAGGTCACCGTCCAACTGAGGTTTGAAATTAAGACTGAACAATAAAATTGAATTGGTAAAATCTTCCTTCTTCTTTGGGTTTCTTTAAACAATCCCATAGTCTTAACATTTACATTGACAAGAACCCATATTCCAGAAATGAGCTAATTTAATATGTGACCTATTAAATTAGCTCATTTAATATGTAACATGTAATATGTAACATATTAAATTAGCTAAAAAAAACTCTTTTTTCCAGCTTCTGCAAAATGTAATTCAGCTTTGAACTTAATAAGAGATATTGATCAGGAATGCAGGACATACATTAAAAAGGGGAAATTTGAATTTAAAAAAAAAAAAAAAAAAAGAAAGCACATAAAAATAAATGTTACATCTCATCGGAGCATAATTTTTTTCCCCTTTTAAATCCATTCACTAAACATATAATGAAGATAAAACTGTCTTGTCAGAGATTGCTTGACATTATGATAAGTTCCAGTTCAAGTTAAACTTATATGAGTAGCAGTAGCTCCACTTATCCACTCAAAACCTCTCCATTATGTGCTTTGTGAAATCTTCAAAGCTTGGATATTGTTTTATAACCTAATCCTGTTTTAAATTTCTTGACAATTTCATCTCTTATCTGCCTGCTGCGATCCTTAGGCTTTATTACGCTGTTTGTTCACTAACAAACGCCCGAGGCCGTCACAGAACAGCTAAACTTAAACCGAGATTGAGTTACACACATATGCATCCCACACTTTTAATATTTTTATGTTGAAAGTAAAATATTGTGGATCATTTTTCCACTTTGTGTTGATCTAACACTTGATATTCCAATGAGAAAAAAAGGATGAAAGTGCTTGTGAGCGGTTGTGTAAGCGTGGCTTCGGCAAGGTGAAAATATTCCACGTCGCTGGCACTTCTGCATACATGGCACACATGCAGACCTCGCCAAGCACAAGATAAATAAGTAATGAAAGGAGGAAGTGATCAGCATATTCAGAGGCATCAGAGCATTTTAGGACGAAGTCAGCACTGCTGACGTTAAACATGTCCCCAGGACATTCCCTGAAAAAGGGACCTGAGCGACAGGTTGATTCGTAACACTGTTTGTGACTGTTGTGAGCTGATTTTAGTTTGAGTTATTTTTTCTGATCAAATTGTTGAACTTACTTTTAAAGTGCTACTGATTTGGAATGAAAACATGTCATTAAAATCACCAGCCAGTGTTAGTGATTTCAGTCCAGCAGTGCCTGCAGTAAATACTCAAAGTAATGAGGGCAGCAGTACATTTTGAGCCAATAGCAATTTCATTTGCAGCTAATATAATTCTACATTTGTGAAGCAACTAAAGTCATATTTTCTTGTTTGCTTTTCAGTTTGACTCAAAATGAAAACTGTGTCTCAGATTCTTTGATCTGTTTGGTGTGTGTGTGTGTCGTCATCTAAGTTTTAAATGGGTGTGATTTCTCCAGTGATTCATATTTAAGTTTACAGTAATGGTGAGTTCACCATCGTTTCTGAGCAAATAGCGCCGATGGGTTTAACCCCTTAACCGTCACTCCCAAAATGCTTACATGTCAGTCAATGGGTCTAAGGTGTCTTCATGATAGTGAAGGATTTTAAAGTCCCCATTTGAAGAAACTAAAGGTAGCACTTTGTTCAACCTAATTTTAAGCCTTTTTTGTTTCCTCTCAGGTATTTTCATTTTACAGACATCAATTCAAATCGCTACCATCAACTTGCGGTATTTCGGGGCGCGGGGTTTATCTTTTGCTGCTTCTTCACTCGCTACATTTTCTCTCCCAGAAGAGACATGAAGCCTGCTGTCTCCCGGATGTGTAATTACCGTAAACAGTAACATAGAAATAGACAAGAAAAACTAAATCCCATAAACACATGCTTCTCAGAGTTGGCACAAGTAAAACCGATGGTACTTGGGTTGTCTTTAGTGCTTGTACAGGAGGAATTTTAGTTTTAAACTTCCAGAAAGAGGAATTGCTCAAGCATGTTTATGTTTCCTTTAAACAAATACTTAAAAAAAAAAAAAAGTAGTACTGTGGAAAATTTTCTGAGAAGTCCCTGTATAAACTGAGAAGGACAAAAATGAACCTGGTGCAGTGGCTAGTGGTAGTCAGAAAGCTAGCAAGTTATGTTAACTGTTATATTCAGTGACAAGCTAACTATTGTTAGCTGGTCAATAATTCAGTAATCTACTGTGTGTCTTATTTATTCAAACACCAATTATGTCGAATTCATATATATATACTATTTTTGCTTCAATTATCCTCAGCGTCGTGTGTTTCAACGAATTGCAAGTTTTATTTAGAACCACTGATACTTCTTGTTAATTCGTGAATAAATTGATGTTGAATGCATAACTGAATCGCATCCTTCAGCAGAGACTACATTATCTTTTGTTTTTCTTTTTGAAAAAAAAAAAGACAAAACACAAATTGTGTTGTGTTACCGTTTTAAAATAGATGTTGGCACTGTGGTATATGGAAACATGGGTGGTACTTTTTATTAAAAGTATGAGAACCACTGCACATTTGTGGCTTCTGCTTCTGGGGGTCCTCTGGCATACTTACATGCCTTCCCTTGAAACAACACAACCAGCATATCTGAAAAATATCTAGTTTAATAGCTCATCACTCACTACTGATATCTGCCGTTTGCGTCCGTGCTGGAGTCACACTTCATTCATTCTGCAAAAGTAAATTAATCAGTGGATAAATACCTGGTGATTAAACTTGCCCCTCCTTCCCAGCTCTGCTAAGTCTGAACTGAAATGCTGCACTTCAGTCATGACGGCAACACCAAATGAATGAGTCAGAGCAAGAAATTACCTTTGTTCTTAATTTACTATTTTTCATTTAATAGTTAATGTAAGGTGAGTAATTTGGGAACAAAGTTAGATAAATTGGTAACACTTTATTTGAAGGTGTGTGCATAAGACTGACATGACACTGTCATAAACATGACATAAACACCTGTCATGAACATAAAAAAGTCTTTATGAATGTTTATGACTGTTGTCATGACTGTTGTCATGAAGTGTCATTCGGTAAATTTTAATGCAAAGTTGCTCTAAAAGTTGCATTAAAAGCCCATTAAAAGTGCCAGCTTTGCATGATTTTGTAAATAATGACGATTTAATGCAAAGTTGGCATTTATAATGGACTTTAAATGCAACTTTTAGAGCAACTTTGCATTAAAAGTGTCATTATTTACCGAATTACACTTCATGACAACTGTCATAAACATTCATAAAGACTCCTTCATGTTTATGACAGTGCCATGTCAGTCTTATGCACACCCCTTCAAATAAAAGTTACCGATAAGTTATATGGTTACCTTACACAAAACCTAATTTAGGACTGTTAAATTGAGAGCATGCAAAAAAAATAAAATGTCTGGGCAGATTAATGCTTTGCAGACTGATGAGTAGGGCTAAAAAAGAAGAGGCGTTAATTATGATCTCATAAAATCTTGGCTCCAGTTCCAATAGGGATTTTCCAAGGTTTTGTGGGCTGCTACGCGATAATTGGCCAGCAGGTGTCTCCAAAGTGCACTCTACTGTGTTCACGTTTTTGACCTTATACTGTCTTGATATACTGTGCGAAATGACATTATCGCCCAAAAAGTAGCACGGCCCGAATTAGAAAATAGATTATATTCGTCACAGCAAAAGCTTTGTCTCTTTCTTATTTCGGCTGTACAAGTACAGCGTAATTTGAGGATAAAATAAGACAAGATAATAAGCACACAGCTGTAATTATTCTGCACCCTGTCAACAAACAGGCTAAACATTAGCTTCTGTACGGCAGCTGTCCCATGACCGGAGTGAAAAGGCGTGTTCTCGGCTCGGTATATAAAGCAGCCCCCAGCAGAAGCCCCACTAATGCCGCAGGCCGCCGCTCTGCCCCCTCAGCCTGCGCGGTCATCCTCCTACTGTTGGTCCTGCTCACAGCTGACAGCAGCAGCCTGAGGACAGAAACCAACACACCGAGGGAAACTGTACATCTCTCACGTAAGTGTCGCTTTCCCCCCCTCTTTATAGAGTGGCTTGCCTTTTTATGTGGTCTCTTTGAATTATGTAAGGGCAACTAAGGAGATTAACATACCACCTGATGAAAACTGGCTCAAAACTACTGACTTCTGTTGCTGTTTTTTACGACAGTTATTCCAAAAAATATTAGGTGCTTTATTTATGAAAAAAAAGATGTTATCTTCGTATAAGTTTCCACTATACTTTTTTCCCTATTAGTCTGAACTTGATATGAAAAATGGATCTCAGAATTTAAGGGATTATATAATTTCAAAATGTTACTATTATTTATAGTGACAGCCCTTGTGTTAAAAGCTGTTAAAGGAAAGCAACTTCTAAATTACTTTCGCTTAAGATATTTCAGGCAGGTGCCTTTAGTTATTGAACCGTAAACAAATAGTACAAATACAGACATTATGCAAACCTTTACCATCTATGTGCTATAAATACAGGAAAAGCTTGGCCACATATAAAAATGCATTGAAGAGAGCAACAAAAAAAATTTACTTTCCTTATTTCTTTCTTTCTTGAGTAAATCCCAGGATTCAAGTCATAACTGCAACAAGTTGTTTTTTTTTTTTTTGCGAACTCAAATTCCCATTTACAATTAATATATGCTTTCAAGCTGATCTGTGTGACTTTGTGTTCCAAGGCTGGGTATGCATGTGCAACGTTTTTAAAATTTGCTGAACTTTTGCAGTGCGTTTTTAAATAAATACAATTAACAGGGCTGTAGAAACATTTCTCTGCATAATTCTTTGGCCTTTGCATGTTCTTATCATGCATATTTGAGTAAAGCATGAAAACCACAGTTTATGCAACATTCGAAACTGAACAGAATTATTCTACACCGATCACAGATTCTTACAAATTGATTCAAACTTTTACTTTGTAGCAAACAAAAAAAATTAGGTCACTAGAGGCACTTGGCCTGAGCACCTTCAGTGCAAGAACCATAACTGACAACGCCTATAAAAGCAGATGAGTCATTACGTTTTGTTTGGTAAAAAAAAAAAACAAACAAAAGAAAAACACACTCTTTATTACAGCAAAACAATTTCAGGGTGAGCTCACTTAGAAGTTCAGATTTTGCGTCGATCAGTGTGCTGTAAATTAATTATATGCTGTACCTCAGCATCCGTGGACTTAATGTGGATTGGATCATTAAATCATTTAAAAGGTTCTTCTTCTCTTTTATCGCCATGGGAATGACCTGATTGAGTCTTTAAAGGCTTAAACACACTCGTAAACTCTTCCCTCCAAAACAAATTCCAGTTAACTTCAGTGCTCTCCGCTGGCTCTGACACACTCTGCTGTAAAGTTATTTTTAGCGCTATTTATTCCTGATTGAACCATTTTGTTCACCGGTCACAGAAAGTGCTTTTATTTTACTGGCAGGAATAAGTCCTCCCCCACTCCACTCCACCATATTTGAGTAAATCATGCATGTCGAGGTAAATGATGCGTGTCGCTTGTTGTTTTGTTGGGTTGTTTGGGCTTGTTAATGTGTAACTCAGCTTAGGGACGGTGCCTATACTCACTCATATATATTTGTGTTTTTGCAGCGTGAATCATCTGAGGACCACAATGGACTCTCCTCCCATTTTCATACAGGGTCATTTCATAATGAGCCTCACAGATAAACCCTGCATACCCAGCTAGCAATAGATTTAATCAATTTTCCACTAATAGGTTCGTTTGTTCTAAACCTTGGAGGTTTTGTTATTATTTATTGCTACATACTACCTCAAAAGTTGCTATCAAACAACAAATTATTTTTTATTTTTATTTTAGTAGAATAACATTGAGAATACTCATGGATACGACTACTCTAGCAGCGTTGGCCACTGCCACCACTGTAGCTCTGGTCTCCCAGTCAGACATGTCGGGCTACCTTTGGCTCTTAGTGGTCGGGTTCATCATCGCCTTCATCCTGGCGTTTTCGGTGGGAGCCAATGACGTCGCCAACTCCTTTGGCACGGCGGTGGGCTCCGGAGTGGTCACCCTGCGGCAGGCCTGCATCCTGGCCACCATCTTTGAGACGGTGGGCTCGGTGCTGTTGGGGGCAAAGGTCAGCGAGACCATCCGTCAGGGGATCATCGATGTCCGCATGTACAACGGCTCGGAGCACGTGCTCATGGCGGGATCCATAAGTGCCATGTGTGGTGAGCCTTCGCACAGATTTTGTTTTCGTTTTGAAAGTGCGGATCTTTAGGCCATAAACAGAAGCTCAGCTGGTGTTTTTCTGCCACACAGGCTCTGCCGTGTGGCAGCTGACTGCTTCATTCCTGAAGCTCCCCATCTCTGGAACCCACTGCATTGTTGGGGCCACAATTGGCTTTTCAATGGTAGCGAGAGGACACCAGGGGGTCAAATGGATGGAACTGCTTCGCATCGGTAAGCAGACTTTCTCTTTCTAAGTATTCCAACAAAAAGGAAGAAGAATCTACAAAAGCTAAACTACAAGTCATGTAAATAAATTGTACATGAAATGTTCTGTTTAAAGTGGCATCATGGTTCCTGTCGCCTGTTCTGTCGGGAATCATGTCGGCAATTCTCTTTTATTTCGTCCGCAAATTCATCCTGAACAAGGTAAGTAAATAAAGCAAGGAGCTATGTGATTAGATCATGAAATGACAAATCATATTTAATATTCTTGTTTTGTTATTTCTGACATTACGAAAGCTGCAGTACCGTTTCAGTCCTGGCTGAGCATCGTTTCATGTAAATAATAATTTACACAAAGTGTAATTGTAGATTTTAACTACCTGTTGAAAGCAACGTCTCAGTACTAAGCCTACTAAGTACCACCATCATGGCAGACATTTTGAAACATCAATACAGCAAGACTTTGGATTTTTTTTCCAGTTTGCTTTATTTTTTACTTTTGTGCTATCCATTTTTCATCACAGCTGTTAAAATGTTCAAGCTACACAGTGGGAAAATAAATGGCAGAAATGGAAAAGTCAGACTTCCATTTCTGACTTTTGGATTTCTTCAACAAACGTCTTAAAATGTAAAATGTAGTGACGGCTGCAGCAACTGCCTAAAAGCTGTTTATTTGCACTTCTGATATTTCATATCCCACTGTATAGTACACACAGCTAGTACGCTACAACCTCTGTTAGCATTGTGTGTTACAGTTAGAATGCACGAAATACTACAAAAAAAATTATCAGGGTGTTGCTAATAGTAGTTAGCATGTCACTGATTCCTCAGATTTCCAGTTTTAAAGTGGAACAAGGTAAAGTTGGATTTGAGGTCTGTACCAAATCCGCATGTTCTCCCAGACTGTGAGAGAAACATCAATACAAGATAGGTTGACTTGACTGAAATATCCATTCTGACACGTTTGCCTGATCAGAGCAAACTTTACTCTGAAAGGCAAAACTTAAAGAAAACAGGAACAAAGACTTTCAGCTGGATATTTACTTCACAACCTTGAACGTGCTCAGTTTCCAAACCCATTACTTGTTAAGAAACTGCACTTGATTTAAAATCACAAACAACCCAGAAAAGGTCTCTTTTTTCCCCCTCCACAGTCTAACCCTGTACCAAATGGACTGAGAGCTCTTCCTGTCTTCTATGGCATCACTATGGGCATCAACCTCTTCTCCATCATGTTCACCGGAGCTCCGCGTGAGTTTCACACAGACACACCAAACCAGAAAGTCACTTGATATTTTCATCCAAATGAGCCGGGGGTAAAATCAAGGATGGTTGATGACGAAATTAAGATCCAAAGAATGAAAATTCATTAGATTATTAACTTTATTCCTTGCTAATATTTGTATTAATTAGGGAAAAAAAACATCGCCATACTAGGCTTGATATAATATTAATAAGGTACAAGAGAATAAAATAAAATAATCCCCTACTGAATGGATTTTTAAAAGTCCCATTGACATTCATTGGCAGGATTGGACTTTTTTCAAAAGGGCGCCTGACTGCACACTGCTGTGGTTGTCCAAAAACAAAATGTCCAAAATAGCCCTGTTGTGCAAAAGTACTGCGCGTCTTTTCACGATCGTATCGTCCAGAAGGTCGTTGCAGTTATCTCTTGCAAGTTTGATGGAAATCCATTAGTTCTGTTGACTTTTCTTGAACTGAAATGAGATTATCTCCTTGCACGCCTCGCATGCAGTTACCAGTGTTTGAGGCCGGTCCGGTTTAGCATGTACGATAGACATAGGCTACACCCATAATGTTGGCCGGGCTTATTTGGTGTTATGATCCAGCTGCTCACAAGAAAGAAAGATTAAGCTCATTTTATCCCACCTTCAAAAGGCAGAAAACAACAGCACACTCTCTGTCTAGTGAAAACATTAGAAGAGGAGAGGAATTATTAAACCGCCACCAACTGAGTTGTTATCGCTACGCTGCAAGACTTGCCTCTTCCTCGGTATCTGATTAGAGGAGTGTGCACTTTCACTGATACTGCTGCCTTTAAGCAGGAAGACATGCTGGCATCTGAGGAGTGAACGTTTAAGAAAAAAATCGTATCATTTTCTACAAATTACACGACTGACTTGTTATGCTGGACACCTGCTGTCCTGCTTCTAAGGCGATGTAATTTTCGTAAGACAGGTTTCGTTGCTTTTCGATTTTAGAGCATGAAGGCAAAAATGAAATGGACACAAGGTTCTGTTTGTATTTTATTTATTTATTTATTTTCCCTGAGGCGACCTTTTCTGACATGTCTCTTCTCCTTCGTCCACAGTGCTCGGCTTTGACAGGATGCCGTGGTGGGGCACGCTGTGCATTTCTCTGGGCTGTGCCGTCGTCACCGCTCTGCTTGTCTGGTTTGTTGTCTGTCCACGCCTCAAGAAGAAAATCGAACGTGAGTGTAACAGAGACAGCTTCAGGAAGACAAACGCTCTAGATTCGAGGGTGAAACTGTTTAGCTGCTGACGAGGAACGACAGAGCTTCACAAAAGAAATCACGCCCACTCAACTCTTTAACATTTTGTCACGTTGCGACCAAAAACCTTAGTGTATTTTATTGGTAATTTATTGATGCATCAAGAGAAAATAGCAAACAACTGGAGGAAAAAAAAAAAAAAGATATGTGATGTTTCAAAGTGTACAAGTAATTTCAACATCCTGTATTCTCATGTACTTAAATAAATGTAGTGGAGTTTAGAACTTCTCCTTTTAGTAAATAGAGTCAAATTGTGTGTCCGTCTGTTCCGCACAGCAGACAGGCCAGCGTTACAGATGTGGAGAAATTTAAAGCAGGATTTTGTTGTAAAACAATAAGCCCAGTTCTGGTTGAATAAGACTACGACTGAACTGCTCATCACCCTGACCACACCCTTCTGATTGCAGAAAACAGTGGTGGCAGCATAATGCTTAGGGGACTATTTTTTTACCTCAGCATGGACAGAGTGTTGTGGCATTTTGTACAATGATAATTTTTGTAGTGTTGTTTCCTTATTATTTAGTCATTTGAGCAATTTTGCAAAGAGAAATTAGTACAATATTCAGTCTCTTGATGTGCACACACAGTGGGGAAATACTTCAAAAATATTGCACAGCCATTACTATACATTCATGCACTTCTTTGTGTTGGTCTACCGCATAAAATCCCATAAATCATTGTACGATTACATAATCCATCGCCGCGGATGCACCAGCAATAAATTAAATGTAATAAATCTGTAAATTCTGCTGCAGTATAGCTGTCCGCAACAAAGCTGTTTGACTTGTAACGTCTCGCTTTTCAGGTGAAACGGCTCCTGCTCCCTGTGAGACTCCGTTAATGGAGAAGAACTCGAGCAAACCTCCAGCAGAACAACCTCAAATCCCGTCTGACCTCCATCTGCAGAACCCTCCGGTAGAAACACAGACGGTGGCCTTTAAACTGGGAGGCTCAGAGGAGACTGACCTAAACAGCGACATAGAATCCAAGGATCTTGACATCTCCAACGGTGAGAATTTTTAAATCTGGTGCTGGAAATGTTGCATTTTTCACACCGGTGTCGCAGCTGTGAAGACGGGGTTTCACCACAAGCGGCTACGACCGACCAGTTAGCAAAACGATGTTATAAGCAAGCTTTTCCCACAGGTCTGAATGGCTCCTTAGGCCACATGACGATCACCGATCCCCACAGCGGACGCTCCCACACCATCCACAAGGACTCTGGCCTTTACAAAGACCTGCTGCACAAGCTCCACAAGGCCAAGGTCGGGGACTGCATCGGTGACAGTGACACGGAGGAGCGGCCCATGCGGAGGAACAACAGCTACACGTCCTACACCATGGCCATATACGGTATCCAAGGCGATCCCAAATACAGAGACGCCGACGCCGGCTTCCAGAGGAGACCTCGGGTGGACAGCTGCAGCAGCTACAACTCAGCAGTGACCACCGGAAGCGCGTTCCCGGACGGGAGCGTGACGCAGGAAGCTGACGCAAACGTTGCTGTGGAGGAAGACGAGCTGGAGATCGACCAACCTGCAGTCTCTTTGCTTTTCCAGTTTTTGCAGATACTGACTGCATGTTTCGGCTCCTTTGCTCATGGGGGAAATGACGTCAGGTAAGCAAGGGTGTTTTTTTGGGGGGGTTTTCAGTTTACCGAAGTATGATCTTTTTAATGATTTACATTTCATTTCTTTCTCTAGCAATGCTATTGGCCCTCTGGTAGCCCTCTGGCTTCTCTATGAGAGCGGGTCCGTGGTGTCGAATGCTCCCACTCCCATCTGGTTGCTCCTGTACGGCGGAGTAGGAATCTGTGCTGGACTCTGGGTTTGGGGACGGAGGGTGATCCAGACCATGGGTAAAGACCTGACCCCCATTACACCCTCAAGGTATGCCTCGTAGCTATGCCCCGTCCGAGCAGAAGCGATGATTTACCAGGTTGTAAAACCAAAATAAACTTCTCCTTTCCCTGCAGTGGATTCAGCATCGAGCTGGCTTCAGCTGCCACGGTCGTTGTGGCGTCTAATATTGGTCTTCCTGTCAGCACGACGCATTGCAAGGTAATAAAGCTAAAATCTCTGATCCTTTATCACAAACAGATAGAGAGGTGAGCTCTGAGCATGTTATGAAAGTCATATATCTTGAAAACTCCTGCCTTGCAAACAGGCGTTAGAATGTTTGCAAGGTAATTTTTTTCTATTTTTTTTTTTTTTTTTTTTTTTTTTTTTTAATGTAACAACCACAAACTTAAATCTATTTCATTTGGATTTTGTGTGATGAATCAACACAGAAGAAGCAAAATTATACTTTTTTTGTTGTTGTTTTCTTATAAGCACCAGCTTTTGGGGTTTTGGATACTAGTCTGGTGCTTTGCAAAAATTATAGACGATTCAAAGATTGATGATCAAATGCAGTCTACATTTTTGAAACAAAAACTTTGAGAAATCAGCTTTTATTTTAGTACCAAGTACCAAACTTGGCTTACAGTTGCAAGTCTTTTGGGCGTTGTCTCTCCGCACATTCAAAGACTGAAAAAGTACTCCCCAAGTTGAATGGAAAGCATCTATAACCTGTGTTTTTTAAGTTTTGCTACAGATTTTAAATTAAATTTTGGTCTGGACTTTGACTGGACCATTCAAACGAACAAATATGCTCTAGCAGGTTTACTGCCGGGATTACTCTGAAAATGTGTTTTGCCTTCATCCAGCTTCTCTGCTCTGCATGAAGAAAATCCACAGCATCATACTGACAACGACACTTGTTTTATGCTGGAGTTGGTCTATTTACTAATTAGTTGACTTCTACAGACAGTTGGTTGGACTCGGTTTTATTTCAGGGTGTTTCTTTAAAGTGGGCTTAGCGGAGCTTCAGATTGTTATTTGCAAGGAATTTTTAAACGCACGTCCTTTTCATCATCACGCACTTCATTTTGTTGCTCCATCACATCAAAATCAATAAATTATATTCAGGTTTGTGGTTGCTTTGTGACAAAGGTTAAAAGTTCAAGTGGCAAGACGTTTATTTTCTTCCAGTAACTCTTACTTGCACACAGGTGGGATCTGTGGTGGCTGTTGGTTGGCTGCGCTCCAGGAAGTCAGTTGACTGGCGTCTGTTCAGGAACATCTTCATCGCCTGGTTTGTCACAGTTCCCATCTCTGGGCTCATCAGTGCTGCCATTATGGCTCTCTTTATATATGTTATTCTATAAAGCCACCATCTTGAAACACTATTAGCTTCCCACTCTCTATTTTCAGCAATTTCTTTAAAAAAAATGCTTTCACTTTGTCACCTTCTAATGATTGATTTGTCATTTAGCCTAATTTTATCTCCATCCATCATTTTATAGGAACGTTTTCAAGAATGACACTGAGTTTTAGTAACACTGTTCAGCTGTCCAAAAAAACTACGATTATGTACAGTATATTCCTCTGTATATTTGTATAAAAATGATGTGTATAATTCAAGTTTTCTGAAAATTTAAAGAGTGTTCGGTAGCCAATAGCTTGAATGGAAATTAAATTATTGAACATATTTGAATGGAAAGAGTTGTTTCATGAGAAGTGATTTCTCAGTATGTGTGTTTGCCAAGAAAATATTCACTTCACGTTGTTCTGTGGGTGGGGGGCAATACTTTCAGCTTAAATTTCAAATTACAAAAATAATAGAACAAAATTAACAGCTTTGCTTGTTTGTGTTTGTTATAATATCTATGTATATGTATATGTATTTGTTCTGCACTGACATACATTTAATAATATTTCAAATAAAAGTACAACGTGAATTACAATTCAGATGAATTGTAATTTCTTTTTAATTTCACCACAAGGTGGTGCTGTTACTGCAAAGGCTTATAGATAAACAGTTGAAGCTCAGTCAGATTGCATTGAAAACATAATGTGAACATTTCTTCACATGTGATAGATTTTTTTGTCATTGCTGTTCTATGATTATCTCTGTGTTTGTTTGGGTTTTCTTTTTTCTTTTTTTTTCTTTTTAGTAGTATTCCCCCCCACTCCATCCTGCTGCATGGAGAAAATCCCAAAGTGGACAATAATATAGTGATACTGATACTTTTATAAATCAGTCAAACATGTGTGCATTGGAACAATAATTTTGAACGATTAAATTATATAAATTTTTAGTGTATAGCAACAAATTTCACATCACGACATTTCACAAGACAAACAGGTCCAAACTGGGAGGTGAGGACAGAAAGCAAACAGGAAATCACACAGAATCACTAGTGCAGGTGCAAGTCTGAATGCAGAACGTTTACATATAAGCAAATTACTCGTGGCGCATTGTTATTGAAAGGTATTTTTAATAAAACCACTTTCCTGCTGTTCCTGTTATGTGTCATTGCTCACGTGCGGCTCATTCACACTGACCAAACAAAGGTCTCTAAGCCCTGCTCTAGCACCGGCATTAAATATGAGTAAAAGTCGGATTTGATTTCGAGTTGCACGACCTGCCATGCCTGATTTCCCTTAACAATGACCTTTATCCCTACTTTCTATAAACCATCCACCCAGACATGCAAATGTCTCTCCAAGACGGCATCAGGCAGCGTGCTACAGAAGAGGTCGGAAAGGTCGCCTGACCTTCAGAGGGAAAAAACAGAGACACTCAGGACAAATAGCCATGACCGTACACACTCACACCGAAGTGCAACTTAGAAAGATCAAATAACCTAACATGCATGCTTTTCGACTGTAAGGAGAAGATAACCAGGAGAGAACCCACGCAGTCGGACCCCAGACCAAGATCCCAACCCAGGTCCTTCTGCAAGGCAGGTTCAGCGTTTCTCATTAATTTTTTTTTTTTTTTTTGCATTTATACATCCATTTAAATCTTGCAACATGACAGATATTCTGTCTTTGGTCTCTACCTGTTTGCTGGTGTAGCTCTGCCAGCAGTGAAAAACGGCACTGCAGTACCAGAAAAGACGTAACGTGACCTTTAAGGAAATGCATTGTTTTGTCTCAGGCTGCACATGGCTAATTTCTGACACTGCCTGGATTATAAACAAGGCTGGTCATTCTGGACTTTGACACATCAGGTAGAGGTGTGGTTGGATTTGGGTGTTGTTCCAATTTTGACTGCTGCTGAAGTTCAGTTTGTTGTTTCCAAAAATCTCTCAATATGACAAAACCTTTATAAATAGATAAAGATGGCAGAGATGAACCCGACTGAACTGAAAGTAGGAAGAAAATTGCAAAAGAAACTTGAGTAGCACTAAGCAACCTCTATAGAATAATCAGTTTCCAGACTTTGCTTCAACACTGTTGCTTTGCCAGTATATAAGTCCACAGCAAAAAAAAAAAAAAAAAGATAAAAAAAAAAAAAAAAAACAGGAAGCTTAAGAACAACGTTTAAAAAAATCGTTTTGTTTTT